AAGGAAACGTTTTGGAAAACAAGTAATGTTTTATTTGAGAGCGCATGTAGTGATAAAATTATTTGATATATTCAATATTCTAGAAGGTGTTCATGTGGTCATTGGTGAAATGGAAATTTATAACAACTATAATACTGAAGATAGAGGTTAGCTTTCTATTCTTTTAAAAATTCTTTAAAGCATAGATCATTGAGTATAGAATAGTTTTTTTTTTATTCTAGATTAGTGGTAAGGAAAACATTTTCAAGAAATCTGTGTGAACGTAAAAATATTACGATTGAGAATAATTTATTAACAAATCGGATCGTTAACTTCCCTAACAAATACACCACCGAAAAGGAAGGCGCCCTTTTCATGGAAGAACAAAAGAGTTCCAGAAATTGGTTGAAAGGAAACGGAACAACTTGGAAGTAAAATGTCGGAACACTTTAAGAGTGCTCTCCTCGTTGGAACATCTGCAGAATACACTGAGAGCTGTTCAAATACTTTATCAACGTTTAATGTGATTAATTTTTCATTTTTTTTATCATTGTACATTATTAAGAACATTTAAGTTAGCGGCTGTCAAATGACATACAAATTTAGTTGTATTTTTCAGGGAAGAATTTGAAATCTAAATTGATCACAGCCCGAGCTAGATATCTATCCTTTTATGATAAACTCCAGACCCATCCTAATCCACTTGTTTCCATTCTTGCTTCTTCTGAAGAATTGATTTGCAGGTCTGAAGATCTGAAGAAAATTGAAATTCCAGATAACTCTACTAAGCGTCTGACAAGAAGACGACCTCGTGATCTTCTTACTTAGAACTATTTAGGCAGTACTACCATTATTGAGTAATGTCTTCGCAAGTCTGTTCAGTTCATTATTCCCGATTTTTTTCATATTTATTAGTTGTATTTATGTAATGGAGCGGGGTAGCTCAGTGGTAGGGCACTGAGCTTCCAATGCAAAGGTCCCGAGTTCGAACCCCGTCTCATGGCAGAAAATTTATTTATCTGTTTCATTGGCCGTGGGGGCGACCTTGGGTCAGGAGTCCCTCCTGGGGCACACCCAGGCTCTATAAAGTGGGTACCCTTAATTAAGTAATTGGTTAATGGGGAAAACCTGGCGGTTGAGCGTGATCTCGGTCAAATCACCTCCTTGCACAACCGTTGACCTAGTAACAGTGCTTTCCCTAAATAGTACTGAACCCCAGACCCTTCATGGGTTGTAGTGGTGCAGGTTTTTTTTTTTTTTATGTAATACAGTTGTAAATTTTCATGTATATAAATTGATCAGAAATTCCCATCTTAGTTACCTAGATAAAAGTGTCTTTTGATCATTTACTTTTGCATATCCTCATGATTTTTTTTTTAATGAAAATTTCGTTAGGCGCGCTTGGCAATTTTTTTATCGAGAGTGAACGTAGTAAGATTTTCGACTTGTAACGCTCGAGTAAAGTCGATTGAGGTCGATTAATTGAAGTGTGTTTTCAAATCGATTAAAATAACTCAAAAACTAAAAATCGGACCTGCATATTGTTAGCGAGAGAAATGTCCATCATTTCATCCTCTTTGTAATACAATTATCCAACATCGTATCTTAACGCGACGCCGTGTTAAAGAGGCGAAAGGGAAAAAAATAGTGTCGAAAAGCAAATGATAACGATTTTTATGGAAAATGAGGATTAAAATATCTCAGAAACTGAAAATCGGACTTGCATACTGTAAGCGAGGGAAATGTTCAGCGTTTCATCTTCTTTATAATGAGCTTTTATTTATAATTTATATTTCATATTATTAATCACGCCTTGTTGATGTTTTAACTTCTATCGTGTGGTGTAATGCACTCGCTATAGTTTATTTTGAATGTTCTTCACTCATCTAGTAACCCTGTACGAACCCGGCGTATTTACATGTTCCATGCATTTTGGACTATACATGTATCAATTAGAGGAAGTATTACAACAAGCTTATATTTTATTTAGATTTTGATATGTATGTATATGTTTATAGGTATTTATCGTAAAAGAAAATTTTTTTTTGGCATACTTATTAAAAAGAATAAAATTACACTACCGGTATTCTAGCTTTATAATCATATTGGATTCGAGATGATTTAAATTAAAGAAGATTACAAGACGATTTCCGACACGAGAGGTCGAGTACTAGAGCCAGGGAAGTTTCCGTTGAGCGTCTGCACGCGAAAGTGTAATGGATTAGGGTCAGATAAGCCTAGGACAAATTAGAGTAACATGTGTTGCTTTTCAGATGATCTATGGTCTTTTCTCAGAATGATAGTGGCTCAGATGTTGTCGGTATTTGTGTACTGACGAAATATATACAAAAAGGGTAGCATAGCATAATTTATCTATTTAAATAAAAATTAGTTCAATTTAAATAAGTTTTAGATTTCTAAAATTTAGGAAAGAATGTTTATACTTTACTCAAGTGTCATTGGTTAAACACATTTATTTTCTAGGATATTTTGCAGATTAGTCCCGCCGGTTATTTTTTAACATTAAACTATTATTTAACGTGATTAAAGAAAAACATACGATATCGAAAGCTTTATTTTTTTCCTGTTTGCATTACATACGTTGTTCTTCTTATGCATTAACAACCCTGCTCCTTCTCTACCTGTCTTGGACTATTTCTTTCCAGTTATCTGCAGTAGCTCTATTGCATCTTTGTCGATTCTATCTATCCATCTGCTTTTTGGCTTTCCACATGGTCTCTTGCCTTCTATTGAGGAATTCAATATAATTATAATTAACATAATTCAAACCTTTTTTACAGGTTATTCACATGGCCCAAACTCTATATTATTTAGTAATGTTGCCTTAAACAAATATTTTCCGTGGCGTCTTCTCCACCAAACAAAACCAAATAGATTCATTTGTACAAGAACGAGCATAAGCATTTCTTTCTACGACGTTTATTAGGTGTCATTTATTACAGAAGCGCTCCTTATGGTTTTTTTTTATTATAAAACTTTAAGGTTTTCCCTTCGCTGTTGTTCAAACTGGAGTATAACCTAAAGGAGTTCATTTTGCTAACTAAATAAATCTTTTAACAAATGTTTTTATAGTAGAAGAATAACAACATTGATTCAAATAAAATTATTACTTTTATACAAATATAACAGATAATTCTTCCGTTTAAAAATCTGCAAAAGATTCTTTTTCTATATTATTGTCAAATTTTAAAGAGGCTTGCCTAAGTCGATAAGCTATCCATAATAGATGTCAAAATTTGAAAAATATATCTAGGTAATGATCCTAGCCTTTTAAAACAGTTTAGTTTTTTACACTCATAAGGCCGAAAGTATATTGGAATTTTTCCTTAGTAGAAAAATCCGAATCGTTAGTGAACTTTTACTATGTGATATTGAATGTTAAAGTTCAGAATATCACTAAAATATAGCAGCTTGGTTCAAGATCATGTCTAGCATACTGTAGATGGAATCCCACAAAGCCGAGTGGATCCGAAAGTAGACGTAAACTACCGATACATAGTAGAATGTATATATCAGGTTAGTAAAAATCAGTTTAATTAACAATTACGTTAATTTCTTATTGTGCATACATGCAAGCGTGAAACGATTTTTCAAAGTGTTTATCAGATATTTGTCGAACATTTCGGTTTTTCTATAAAAGTAATATTGAAATAAACGTAATTTCTGTGTTTGTATGCTATTGATTAACGAAAATTAATATCTGCTTTACTTTTTCGGGTTTTTAAACACCATAAATGAGAATAACAATACTTACAACGCTTGAAATTAAGTCAGTGGTTAAGTTGAGTCACTGTTGTGATGAAATTTATATTTTCCGTTTCCTACACCGTGTAGTTGCTAATAAATATTATACTTTCATATAACAATAATCGATCGAATTTTCGGCCCAAAAAAAACAACTCTTTTTTTTACAAACTGACACGTTTGTTTTTTGTATGTAATATGATTGTCAATATTCAGCATCCCTGGGGATCCAATTAGCTTGTTGAACATATCGAACACTGCCTGCATTCTGGAGTAACGATTTGGAACTATTACCAAAGTAAAAATACACGTATGTTGTGTTTTTGTTATGTTTTAATAATTTTTCAAGCCTCTAGAAGATATTACTAAAAGGATATGACTGAAAGATTCAAACATGCAATTTTTAAGTATCTCAAATAGCTGTAAATAATTAACTTCGCCAATTCAGATTTCTCCCGGGACAGAAAAAGACATCACTTAAATGCTAAGCATTGTACTTCTCGTATCAAATAATTATTCATGTAAAGTTCATGTAAATTTTATAGGGAATTAGATATCTCAACGGGTCCAAAAGTATAGCTTGACCATAAATTAAAGGCCTTCCCTATATTTTCGGTCAAACTGTATATTTTAAACTATTTTTGAAGTTACTTTCCATCTCTCTCGATTCGGTTAACAGTTTTAGATTTTGGTATAATTTTATGATATTCATCCTTGTCGATTCATGAAATGGCAAAATTTTGGGTGCTGAACTCTTTGACTGTGGACGCGATACATGCCTTCCCGTTAGGAGTTGGGGCACTGTTGTGGACTGGAACTAGTTTAATTTAATTTTTATGATCACTTACAGTTATTTTACTTTTCAGAAATGAGAAAATACGCAAGGTAGCGAAGTGTTACGGGATCGCCGCTATAATTTTTCGTTGCCATGTGCATATGTCCCGTTTATTAAATGTTAAATAAAAAGTTTAACATGTATTTATGAAAGCTAAGATTTTGTTGGGTGACTCAAAATAGTATTTTAAACAAACAAAAAATAAATCCGTTTTTCTTAAAGTCTTTTTAGATTTCGGGACCCGCCATTTGGTAGAAACACTCGAATGACCTCTCGCAGTCTAAGAGTTTAGTAATTAACTTTTATTTCAGTGACTTACGGTTTAGTGTTTGATCTTTCTCTGTAACGTCTTAGTAGTAGTTTTCTGTCTTTACTTTCATTAATTAATGGATATTATTAATTAAATAAACATTGACAATACCTCCAGACACCACTATTGTCGGTTTCCTTGATTTGATCTGTCAGGTGGGCCAACATGGCCGCGTTGACCGAGTTGTACCAGTGCAAGACATCCCTGATGGTAGAGTCTTCGCTGCTGATATTTTGCCTGAAACAATTAACAAACAAATAACAATTTCGAATATATTTCACTTAATTTGAATATATCTGAGATTAAGGTTTTAGTTCTGTTGTTTGATTTATCCATGCATCTTTAGATTTGAAATCGATTGATTAAGAATGATGTGGTAACGAATGGCAATTCAAATTGCCTACAGTTGACCAACAGATAAGAACTCTTTACAAACGATTTCACAATTATTTACACGGACATACTAACATACTAATCAGAGATATGGCTTCTGCTGACATGCTCATGAAGACGAGGAGGAGACTGAAAAGGCGCTGGACGAGAGACCTCCTTCCTTAATATAGCCAGGGAAGATGTACTGCTGGGTACTGTCCTTCCCCATGCCTGACATACCAGAGTTTCGTTACTTTAACCAGACCATCTGCTTATTTTCAACAGTCGTCGACAGGTGCAGATTTATATTGTAAGCTTTTATTTTTTTTTATTTTATGGAGTATTAATACAGTCTGCCACACTGAAGGGCAGGAATATTGTAAGCATTAAAATATATATATATATATATATATATATATTATTTGTGTCTTGTGCATCTGTATACATTATAATCAATTTTATTCCGTAACAACGAGTAACGATTTATTCACAATCTATTCTTAAAAGTAAATTAAATCAAAATGAATTGTATTTCAAGTAAAAGAAAAAAAATCAAAAACAAAATGATAAAGGAACGAATTATACGAAAAAAAAAATTATTTTTTTCAAATAAGTTTCTAGTGTAGTACAAAGTTCCTTCTTCTACCTTTGTGATTCTTCTTCGGGAATTTAAAATTATTTCATGCTGTTAAACCATATGCTCGCTACACTGGCATATCGTACTATAATATTTCTTACATAGATAATACACTTATTTCTCGATTGACGAATTAAAAAAAAAAAAAACCCATCAAATATTGACTTGCGAGATTGGATCAGCTGAAGTAAAATTTTATTTCGTAGCGGATATTTTAACGAAATATAAAAATATATCAGAAAGAGTTTTTTTTACGTTCTATTGCTTTATTGAGAGGAAATATAGATAGCGTGCAACGTTCTTGGAGAAAACAGTTTCACTTTGAGTGGTAAATTCTACTCCTGTCAGCTGTGGACGAAATAAATCTCTTCGCGATTGGATTCCTGCCCATTATTGCTCTAGGCAGCGAAATATATCGAAATTGTTTTTGGCTGGGGGACTGCATCATATTCCGATCATTCCTCAACTCAACCTACATTATAACTTTCAGCATACTTTTTTTTTCACAATATTCCAAACGATTCCGGTTTGATTTTTATGTTAAAGACCTCATTTTGGAACTTAACAATGAATGAATAAATGTAAGTTTATTTTTTTAATTTATATAGAATTAGTCGAAGTTAAGTTGAAAAACTATCTGTTTGCATTTTTTAATATTAAATTAGACATGAGTATATGTGATTACAGCGATCTTGCTCGATCTCCACTGGCTTTAGTACTAATGACGCGGTTGAGAGAGTTGCGCAGAGTTCTTCTAAAGTCTTTTTCTTTCCATCGGTGGAGGAGAGACAAGCCTGGATCGGTTCCCTTCCCTGATTGTAAATAGTGTTTCTATGTTATTTTTTTATTATTTTTTTTAAACTTATTTTATTTTTATTTATTGTATAAACTTTTTGATTATTATTTAATTATCATTTTACTTCAATTTTTCCTTTATTTATTGTGGTGTGATGTACTCTTTCTCCACTATAACAATCGTTTATATTGTAGTAGAGAATGTACTATCATTCAATAAAGTATTTTTTTTCTAATATTAAATAGGACACTTGAAAAAAATAAATTAAACAAATAAAAATTCCATCGGATAAAATTGATGTGTTACAGATTTCGAACCCGTACATCACGTGACATTTTACTATCGAAGCTATGGTGAAGTAAACAAGCAAGGATTCGATATTTTTTTATTGTTTTAATGTAAAAAAAACAACATCTGTAATGAAAAATTATATATGTTGTAAAAAAAAAAAAAAGGTGACTTGATGAAAATATTGGCATTCAAAGAATGTTCGGGAAAACAATTATAAAATGAAAGTACCTTCAAGAGGGCAAAGTTTGATTACTTTACGCGAGTTATTTATTTAAATCGTAGATATTGAGAAATGTAGTTTTATGAGATTACGTTTACAAATGATTTTGGCTAGGTCTATATCTATGGTGCGAAAACTCCTCATTTGTTCTGTTGAAAAAGAATAGCTGAGAAAAAAGGGCTGAGAAGCACGAAGAGCACTGTGGAGGACGTAGCTGACTATATTGGGGGCCAATTGCCAGACCATTCTGTCTTAATCACCGGTCGTTCATCTGTCTTCCATGTCTTCCATCTCTTACCTCCACCGCAAACGCCACCTCTTCAAGGGCATAATTGAATTCAAGAGCACACTTCACCATGAAACTACTCCAATAAACAATGCTCATAATTAATTAGGTTATTATTTAAAAAAAACTATAACATATTTTAGACTGATAACAACAATATAAAGTTAATATAGATTGAAGACATTACATCCCACATCAACAGCCCGATACAGGCAACCTAATGGATATGATACAACCCTATCCGAATTTATATATGTTTTTTTAAAGATTGTATTCACAGAAAGAGATCACTTGAAAAATAAAAAAATTAAAATTTTGACGGATAAAATCACTTTTCTATAGATACAATAAAGTAAACAAGCAGGGATTTATATATTTTTTTAATGTAATAAAAAATCATATATTTTTGACACATATTTATAAAAGAAAAGAAACTGAAAGGAGTAGTTTGGCGAAAATATTAGAATCTAAAAAATGTTCGAAAAAGCCGCTAGATTAGTTAGGAAGTTGAAATTTCTGTGATGTGCGCACTAGATTTTTTTTTTTTATCTTTATATTTCCATCCACACTTATCATGAGCTAGACAATAAGCAGATATGCTGTAACTGATAAGAAAAAATTGACGTTTTAGGCATGAGCAAAACAATAGTACCCAGCAGCACTTCTTCCTGGTCTTGAATTATTTCCATAATTCAGGAAAAGAGATCTTTCATCCAGCTCCTCTTTAGTCGTCTCCTGATCGACATGTCAGCTGTGGCCATGTCGTTAATAAGTCCGTTGTGATGTCCTTGTAGCTTAAGATGAAATCTGGAGTAGAGATAACGTATGTGTTGGTCGATAGTTGGTTGTCATAAATCGTTATTTAAAGTTTTGTTGTTTAAGTACCAAGGAGCTCCTGTTATAAGTCGTAAAATTTTGGATTGAAATGTCTGTAGCTTTTGTAAGTGCGTCTTTTTCGCAGAACCGTAAATTTGTGAGGCGTATGTCCATATGGGTTTGAGTAGGTTTAATTTTCATATATCTCGAATTGGTGTTTTTGAGGATTGGAGATTTTTGCATAACAAAGGCTCTAAACCAAAAAAGTGATTTTTCCGATTACATCATAATATTAACCCTTCTCAATTTCCCAATGTATATTGGATCATCGCCACCGATGCATTTCAATGCTTTAAAAAATGCGTATTTAAAATATGTCATCGGAACATATTTTAACTTCAAAACGGAAATCAACAATCAGATGACCTTGATTCTATTTTTGAGTTTTTATGATTTTCTATTAATAGTTCGTTGATGTCCAAGCCAGCAAGGAAATGTTTGATGTCCCCTCTAAATGAATTACCACATTAAGATTAAAGCGCTAGGAATTTATGAATAATTAAACGAAGCCTTTGTCATAATGAATAATAATAGATAATTGAAATTGTTTACTCTGTTTAATAACAGGCTGGTATGACGAATATATCAATCTTTCAAATTATGCTAATTTTAGAAGTCCCTCCAGTACTATAGCAGTAATTAAAAAAAATGTAAATATGAAATGTTTATAAAAAATATATATACTTTAAAAGCATTACTACAAAATCAGGTGCGCTCATCACACAACTTTCACTAATCCCTCTAATTTGAACAGAAATTATTATCTGGCGATATCGGTTAATTACAAAAAGTTTTTGAAGTGCATTTTAATGGAGTTAAATCCTTAAAAACCCATTTGTGAATTTTAGTGATATTTTTAAATATAAAAACTCACTAATACCATTAAAATAATAAAAACCCTATTTATTATATCGACGGTAGGTGATAAAAATCTCATAGCTTCATCAGCCCCACAGCTCTATATCCAGAGAGAGATAATCTATGGATAATTCCAAAATAATACATAATCTATGGATGAGTAATGACTGTACTACATAAGTACTATAGAAATTAAATATTTATTACTTTTTATATGCATTTAAAGTCTTATTTTTTCTCTTGTAATATTTACCAAAATACAGTTACGAGATTTTTAATATAGCATTGAATGGTCAAAAGCCATCACAATTATTGTTTAATAGTTTTTAAACAATATATTTACATGTGAACAATTTATTTATATGTCATTTAATGCCTCGATTTAATGGATTTAATGTCCAGCGGTTCTCTACCAAAAATTCACGTACATTTTCTGGTTTTCTGGTATTTTCAAATTTTTGCGGAGTTAGGAAGAATTGAAATATATTTTAAACTACATAAGGAATTTATTTATAATGTAAAAAAAAAATAAAAACCAAAAATGGCAAAAATGGCGGCAATGGCGAAAATGGCGAAAAAGAAGAAAACTGAAAAAAATGGCGGAACTGCGAAAATCGCGAACAATTTAAAAATCTTTTAAACTGCTATACTTAATCATATTTTTTATATAATGTTGAAAACCGCGAAAATGGTGAAACGGATGAAAATGCCGAAACCACTATAATGGCGAAAAAGGCAATATTGTGATAAACTTAAAATCTTTTAAACTATTGAATTAATTTATATTTTATTATAATGTAACAAAACTGTGAGAATGACAAAAATGGTGAAAATTACGAAACTGTGAAAATGGCGATGCTCCGATTAAGGCATATATGGTAAAAATCGTAAAAAATTTAAA